CATCGCCACTTAGATCGAATGCAACATTCACCAATCATCATCGCCTCTTAGATCGAATGCAAGAAAGGGAAAGGTAAAGAGAGAAAAATACCCTGACGAGCTGAGAGAACAATACCCTCCTCGTCTTAATCTGTGATTCAAACTGACGAGCTAAAGAGGGAGAACCGCCTCGACGCCAGTTTATATAGTCGAGCCGCACCGACCTTGGACGAGTTGGATCGGGTAAGAAGGCCCTTGATCCGCCCCAAATTCAATTTACCCGACCCGTTAGCCTGCAAATTTCATTTTTAGGTATTTAATAATGTGGACGGCTTCGAAATTCGTCATCCTAGAGGACGTCTCGCTCTACTTTTAGGTGGGTCCCACAAGTTTCATAACTCACTGCGCAGGTGCAAAACGACGGGTAGAAGAGGACGTCCTCGTCCCCGCCGTGCCTCCTCCGGCCATGCATTGCCTTTAACTTCTATTTGCCTTTTACTCAACCGTCAAATACACACAGCAGTTGCCAAGCAGCCCAAAGATGAATAATATGGATTCTTTATATGGAATATGACTTTTCAGTCACTGCCATTTAATGTTCTTCATCTATATGTACGAAATAGTTTATACTGCTCGTGAATGTTTATCCAACGTATATTCATCTATAAGGAGGTGAATCCATTAATTTATTTTCAGTGCTCTGTAATTTATTTGCAAGTTGGACTTCAACTTCGATCTTGATCACACGCAACCAATTAATTTGATGGTGTCTACTCGGAGGATTCGACGTAACTTCTTGTAGATGTGCATGATGCGTGTGTACGACTTCGGAGTACGAGAGTCACACGTGCTTGGGAGTGAGATAAAGACCAGTCTATTATATGACCCACGTTCTTCGTTCGGTCAAAATTTGACCAAAATTGTGATAATGAGCTCAGGCGTCCGAAGTCTTAACCCAACTCAATCCGGCCACTCGGTCCGTCAGCACCGCCGTACACACCTGACCCGCTTGCGGTGCCCACGTCACATCACACACAGAAGGTCCCACATCTCACAAGGCACGTGGTCGGCGAGGACTCCACGGGCCCGAAGGACACGTATTGATCTCGTGGCACTGGTTCCGTAACACTCCCCACGCGTTCGGGTCGTGGCATCGACAACGTTTTACGTCCCAAAGTTGTCAACCCCTCGTGTCTCCGCATCCAGGTGGCACTATTAGACAGGTCCATCGATGGAACCCATCTAACGAGTTAGTATGTGTGAGTCATCTCTCGTACGCATACGTGGCATCCAACTAATTTACCACAAAACGATAAGCAAAATTACATGGCCTCTGTTATCGTGTTTTAGGGCTTGTGCTGATTCTATTCTTTTTTACTTCCTTAATAACAACGTTCGTTTACTCAACTTTGTTCTTTGACTTATTAGACTCTCTTAAGTGTATATGAGTTTTGGAGTAGTCAAACTCTCCAACTTTCTGATCGTACCTCTATATGATCAAGCCCCCCTATAGGACTCATTGACAATTACACTTAGAATTTTTCCTCAATAGTATACAACTCACATATGCTGATGACTAAAACTTTTATTCAATGCACGTACAAAAGACCTGTTTTTATAGTATTATGTCATTCACTCTTTAAATACATAACCCTTCTTGTTATCATATTATTCACCAAATTGAAGCTCCTAGTAGCTCTCGATCATATCTTTGTTTTATTAAGTCTCTTATGGGGTTTCTCCCGTATGTGTCACATTGCTTCGAATTGATCCACCATGATTTGCTGCATTTATGTCATCTCATGGTAACATCTCTATTACATCCTGATCAACTTGGATTATGATCTCTCCATGTGTTGCCTCTACTACATTACAAGGCCTTTGTCACCTCTGATTGTATTCACTCATTTGGCAATCAACCTTCGTCTACCCGTTCTCTGGATTACACCCAAACGAAGCAAAGCTCTAGCTAGGACAATCCGACATTTAATAGCTCCCGAAGTCCACTAACTTTGTTAAACTTTAGGAAAGTGCAAATATAAGAATAAGAAAGAAAAATAAGTTTGAGATATTTTAAGATAATATGAGTGTGAAATGAAGTGAAATAAGGGGGAGGATAGGTTTTAAAACCTGTTAGAAAGGGCTCCAACGGTCAAATTGACCATTGGAACACTATTATAAGCAAGTAACAATTGATTTTGACTGTTACCGACTTATACCAATCGGTAATGGTCAAAATTTTGGTCGTTATCATCCGATACAACCCCATATCATCTTATAGAGGCTATATCAAGCATACCATTCGATAGTGGATGGTTCGGATATTAATTTGCTAGCGGACTAATATGTACCACCAGGTACAAGCGGAATAATTTGAAATTTAAATGCATGCATCCCACCTTGCACGGTTTTATCTTTTGTCAAGTATCTCGCTTGCCTTGAGTACCACTATGTTTGATTGTTCATGTAATGTCATAGCTCAAATTCAACTATCTCAATATTTATGCGATATATGTTCTTCTTAGCTCGCTTGTCCTCGTGATGTCTCTCGTGCGAAGGATTGATCATTTTTTTTTAATGATAATATCATATGTCGACTCCTTTAAGTAATTTCTTTCCTCGATATAGCCCCGTAACATCTTTCACGTTTATGTGTCAATTATTTTAAAGTATATTTGTTCTCCTTTGATTCCAACTTGTTAATTCTAAAACAATGTGAGAATGCTATCAAAGTGTCAATTTAGAATCCAAACCTACCTTTTGAAGCCCAAATTAGTGGGCCTAAATTAACACTCTACCACCCTAACCTTGTCCTTACACATTGCAAGTGTGACACCATGGTAAACCATTTTCTAAAGAAGACCTGCACTCATCATGAGATGATGACTGCAACAATATATATACATGCAAATATTAGTGTTTGTCAAACAAGGGTGGAAGAAGCAAGATGGGTTTTGGCGACAAGATTGTTGCTATATAAGCTAAGCAATGTGCATAAAAATAATTACCTTGTTTGCTAGGTGATGCAAGGACTCTTATACAGTGTTTACTGGCTTGCTAATAGAAGGATTTCTTGATACCGGGAATGCCTTCCATGCTAATGGAAGATGGGCAACACAGATGCTGACAAAGGGAAGATTACAATGACCCCATTAAATAATAATAGATCTGAGAAGAAGATGAACTCAATAGTGCTCTTCTGTTGTGGCAGTGAGGTAAGAAGACATTAGGAAGTGACTTTCATGAGAGAGAATCGAGGCTTCGAACTTTTTTGTTTCGGGAGAGAGAGAGAGAGAGAGTCATCAGTAACACATCGATATTAATGTTTGGGTGATCTCACCCTCCGGTGGCCATAGAAAGATACCACGGGCCTCCCTGCTGCGGGATCTACGGCCGACCCGCTTTGATAGTCGTGCAGCCCATCGATATCACAGGCTACTCGGAGTCGAATCGATTTGAGCCGCGTGTGCCAACTTGAAGCTGCTTTGAGATCCGTGAAACAGAATAATTTGCTGTCATAGAATGATACTGCAAGAATCCCCTGCAGCGGGATCACTTACCTCATGCCAATCACGTGCACTCCTTCCACGGTGCTGATCTGCTTCCGACACGCTTTGTTATCCGTGCAGATCGCCCTGCATCACAGGTTGCGCGGAGTCGAAAAGATTTGAGCTGCGTGCGGGAACTTGAGACCGCTTTGAGAGCCGTGAAAGTGGATCATCAGTAACACATGGAATTTTGATTGATCTCCCATCCCCGGCGACTCACATGCATCCGTCCCACGGTGGGGATCTGCGTTCGCTGCGCTTTGATACTCGTGCAGCCCGCCGACATCAGTCTGCTCCGAGGCGGATCGACTTGAGGCTGCTTTGAGATCAGTGCGCAGCGGGATTCTTCCATCGACCTGCCCCCAACACGACGCGTGTGTTTGCGGTTGAGGTTGATCGCGCCGTGACGACGCCGCTGCTATCTCAGACGTTGGACGTCTCAGCGCCAATGAACATTAGGCGGTGAGCCGAGTCAAGGTCGGACCGGACCGCAGCCTGATTTGAAGAATTAGGCAGCACCAAACCATAAGATCGAACGGCTTGGCCTTTGATTCAACGACAATTCAAACCTGGCCACCTCCTCGGGTCCTAAAGGTGGGTTGGCCATTCCAGAAGACGCCCAATTCCATATGTTTCCCATGGTCAACGAAGTCAAAATCACCATCAAACGCGCTCACCAACGTCCCGCAACGAAGTCAAAAGACCAGGCGAGTTGTCCCTCCAATCATCGGCCACATCACGTCGTGGGTTCCGATTAATCCGATGGCGAAAGGGCAAATCCGTCTGAAGGGTACAGAATCGCGGCAGTTGGAGGAAGCATCGTCGCGGGCGTGAGGTGACCCGACACAAAGCCGCAAAACCGAAGGCGCGGTCGTGGTAAAGCAGGCCGGCCCGTCGCCCCCGGTTAGAGTCACCGGCTCCTCCTCCGTGCCCCCTCATTCCATGTCATGTATGGAGCATGATGCTAATGACATGTATGTAGATATATATCAAGGATGTGACATCAGAGGATTTGAGCACACCAGAGAAAGATATATAGAGCGAAAGAGAGGAGAAGACTAAGAATAGGAAGTTATGGATTCAGATTTCGGGGTTCCACGGGAGCTGTCGGAGCTCCAGAAGAAGCGAGCTCAGTATCATCCTGAGCTTCCACCATGCCTTCAGGTCTCTTCTTCTCCTTCTTCTAATGGTGGTGGTGGTGGTGGTGGTGGTGGTAGTGGTGGTGAATCTCTGGTATCTTGGTTCTTAGGAGAGATTCGGCATCGTGTTATGCGCAGTCTTTGTTTCTTCCTACGCGATGCTTTGGATGGCCTCGTGATGCTACTTCCTCCCTTGGGTTCTGGTTGATTCGTGGGTGTCTGTCTTGTTTGGGGATTAATTGCTTCTTGTTCTTCGCAGATATAGTGATCATTCTTGTTGCTTCAAACTGGAGTTTGATGCATCTCCTTTCCCCCTTTTTCTTTTCCTTTTCAGTACTAAATCTATGACCAATGGGCAATACATACGGAAGGTTGCAGGTAGCGATGATCGAAGGACCAAATGTAATTTATAGAATGACATATAAAATAGTTTCCGAGATGATTTAAATTATTGGATTCATCTGCCCAAAATTCTTCTTGTGAGAAAAAATTCTCAGGAATTGTTGACCTTTTGTTAGATAAATTCTCTCAAAAAGTATGTGTTAATCTGCTAAATTATGGATTCCATCTAGACTAGTATGTTCAATCTTTATTGTCCACTCTAGGATCTTTCTATGTACTACTAATCTTCATGCCACCACTGCTGGATCAATACTTCTTATGGGGGCTCATCTGTGGATTCATGTTTATTTTGTTCATGGTGAGCAGGGCATTACAGTGAGAGTGGAGTTCGGCGATTCGACAACCTGTGCAGATCCATCTAGTACAAATGTCATCGGCCGGGCCTTCCCGCACACATTTGGCCAGCCCTTGGCTCATTTTTTGAGGGCAACAGCAAAGGTACCTGATGCCCAGATCATCACAGAGCATCCTCCTATGAGGTTTGTCAACATGAGTTGCCCCCTAATATATGCTGAATCTATAATATTTCTTCTTGAATGCATATCTGGAACTGTATGTTCTGTTGGCACAAAGTGTCATTGCAAACATAAAATTCAAGATGACCCTCTGTTTCTTTGGTTGATCAATTACTTTATGATGTATTGACTCAAATGACTAAGTGCAGGGTCGGTGTCCTATTTTGTGGAAGGCAGTCACCAGGAGGACACAATGTTGTATGGGGACTTTATAAGGCTATCAAGATACGCAACCCTGACAGTGTCTTGCTTGGTTTTGTTGGTAAGCATGTAGTATCTTTCTATCATGAGCTGTGAAATTTTCTGCTTTCTGTCTCACCTAGAACTATCATGAAACATTCTTTTGGTACATTGCATATCTTTTCAAGAATCAATCCTTTGAGGTAAGGTTTAGGAAAATTTAATATTCAACTTCATGAAACAAATACAACTTTTCGTTAGCTTATAATCAAAGATTAAGTTGCTGGTTGATATTATGTTTGGACCCATCAGCAGGCTGATACAGTATGATATAACAAATTGGTAAATTGGAATGCTTATAAAGGTGGTAATTGGCCCTCAGTTGAAATGAATGTGCTGAATTCCTTTCTTGGATACAGGTGGCACTGAAGGTCTATTTACACAAAAAACTCGGGAAATCACAGATGAGGTTCTTGCTACCTACAAGAACCAAGGTGCACGGAAATCTTACTTTTGTTTATCTTCCCTTCATCTTATTAATGTCAGCTGTCTTTCTAATTGGAACTAGGTGTTTGTTGCATTTGAAGGTGGCTATGATTTGCTGGGCCGAACAGTGGATCAAATCAGAACTACTGAGCAGGTAAATGCTGCTATGACCGCATGCAATGATCTGAAGTTGGATGGTCTTGTCATTATCGGAGGTACCTCAAAAACCCTTGTAGGTCTTCTAATGTCTTTTCAGATTGTGGAGTATACATTCTCACTATTTCATTATTTCTTATGTCACAAGGTGTCACATCCAACTCGGATGCTGCTCAGCTTGCCGAGACATTTGCTGAGGCCAAATGTCCAACAAAGGTAACTTGGCTTCACATATGCTTCACACTCATTTATAATTATATTGTCGACTCCATCGATTTTAAACCGATTGCTTTCTTCCTGGGTGACCTTTAAACTTGTACTATAACAAGTCATACACCACATCAATATAAGTTTTCCCCTTTTTTTTTATCTCTGTATGTATTCTAGGCTTGTTTCTATACATAACAAGTGTACCATGTGAACAGGTGGTTGGTGTGCCTGTTACTTTGAATGGGGATCTTAAGAATCAATTTGTTGAGACAAACGTTGGATTTGATACTGTATGCAGGGTAAGTCTCATATAAGCTCATAAGCACTGTGTGCATTCAGAGCTTGAGTTTTCTGTTTGGTCCTCTTTTGATAACTTCGTGCCATACGCGCTTTCCATGTTTCATTTGGGATGATCAACAGTCTATTGGATGACTGTATATATTAACCTGAGTACGCATTTTAAAATTTGAAATGCAAAAGTAATCGAAATTGTTCTTTCTTTTTTGTGATTTCTAATGGCTTTAGCAGTCAATGTTTGTGAAATTGTTAATAAGCCAGAGTTATGTTTGTGTTTGAGGATGGGGATAAACGTTAGCAACTAAATTCTTTTTTCAGCTAATATTTGTCACAAAAATCTGGAAGGTTGACTTGACCTTGTAGTAATGTATATATTCTAGATCTCTACACTGATATTTACGGAACACTTTTCAATTTCAGGTTAATTCGCAACTAATCAGTAATGTCTGTATAGATGCGCAATCTGCAGAGAAGGTAAGGCAGGTCTTTTTACAATCTGTAGAACATAGATCACCTTTTAGTTATCGAAGTAGCTTAGGTGACTTGGTTCTTATGTCAGACCACGGAAAAATCTTTGTTTGTACAAAATTTGATGGCAATATATGATGATCTATTCCTGTGGGAATTAACCTCTTCAAGCTTATTACCTGAGTACTTTAAAGGAATTATAAATACTTAATTCCAGTGCTTTTCCATAACATCAATTTTTAATCAACAAAATATTTCCACAATATCATTTATTAATTTAAAGATATTTGATGCAAATAATGCTTTGCTATTTAGATACTTTTACATACTAATGGTCTCTGTTGCAGTATTATTATTTTATTCGCCTGATGGGTCGCAAGGTATCCCATGTGGCTTTAGAATGTGCACTTCAATCTCATCCTAATATGGTTTGTCTTCCCTTCTAAAAAGTTTTTATTGTTATAAGCATACTTTTTTCTTTTGTTCTAACTTCTAATCCTTATCAGTATATGTTGGTTTGCTTTATCCATTCTCAGCTCATCTTGGGAGAGGAGGTGGCATTGTCAAAACTTACTATTTTTGACATTGCAAAGCAAATTTGTGATGCAGTTCAAGCCAGAGCAGAGAAAGGTTGGGAGTTATGTTTAATGCTTTGGTTGTAACTAGTATGTTCTTCTGTGATAACTTAAGCTTTCTGCAGAAAAGTACCATGGCGTCATTCTTATCCCGGAGGGGCTCGTAGAGAGCATTCCAGAATTGTATGCTCTTTTACAGGTAGTTTATCTATTTGTAAAATTTCGAAAGCTGTAAACGTTTAAAATTTTCTGATGTTTCGGAAATAACTATTGCAGGAAATTCATGGTCTCCACAACCAAGGCATTTTGACCGACAAAATTTCTTCTCGTCTTTCACCTTGGGCATCTGCCTTGTTCGAATTCCTGCCGCCCTTTATCAGGAAACAGGTTTTCTGTCTTCTGACTAACTGAGAGCAAATTGTTTCAGTGATTTTTTTTTTCTTTAAAGCAAACATCACAAAAAATTCTATGATGCAGCTGCTGCTTCATCCAGAGTCTGATGACTCTGCCCAGTTGTCCCAGGTGTGTTATCTAATGTTGCACAGAGAAAGACTTCTGCTCTCATTTACTTATATTAACATCAATGATTTGATGCTCAGATCGAGACAGAAAAGCTTCTGGCACAATTAGTAGAAAAAGAAATGAACAGAAGGATGGTAAGTCGACTTCTCTATTGAATTGTGGCATATTTAACAAGAATTTCAATTTCCCATCAAACAAATTTAATCTGACTACTGACATCGAGATGGAACAGTGCCGATAGTCCACATCTTGATAATTATTTCATGTATTGACTCTAAAACACCGAGTGGTTTGGTACCCTTCCAGGAAGAAGGCATATACAAAGGAAAAAAATTCAATGCTATATGCCATTTTTTTGGATATCAAGCTCGTGGATCTGTACCATCAAAATTCGACTGTGACTATGCATATGTATGTGCCCGCTAGCTTGCTTTCCCTTTCTTTTGGTTACGCCTTGAATACTAAATACTTGGCTTACATGATCAGGTTCTTGGACACATCTGCTATCATATTCTAGCAGCTGGTTTGAATGGATACATGGCTACTGCAACGAACTTGAAACACCCTGTGAACAAGTGGCGTTGTGGTGCTGCACCACTCACGGTAAGGGTCTCTTCCCCACATTGTGTTTCCTGCATATCAAAAACATTAACCATTTACGGAGATATCATATCAGTAACATTCTGGCTTAAACTGGTCATCCATTTACGGAGATATCATATCAGTAACATTCTGGCTTAAACTAGGCGATGATGACCGTGAAGCGATACTCGCGTGGTCCTGGAGCTGTTCCTGTTGGAAAACCTGCCATCCATCCTTCCACAGTCGACTTGAAAGGGAAAGTATATGAGTATGTTTCGAGATCACACCTTGATGGCTTTGAGTTGTGTCCTGTTTAATTTTTAACTGAATAAAGTAAAGTACTTCTCTGGTTCCACTGAAAATCTACAAGGTTGCCTTAATAACTCCTCTTTCAATCATCAACTTACAGTCTCAGATAATTAGCAAATTTGATCTACAAAGTTGTGTAGATCTTACATGTATTTCATGTCGGTTCTTTTGGACAATGCCTAACGATTTATTAGGTGCGATCTTAAATTATATTCGTAACAAGAGCTCCACGGTTACCTTTTAAAAGTAGTGCAAGTGAAGCCACTGTTGACCAACTTCTAGCCTCTCGTTTCAGGTTGCTGAGACAGAAGGCTCCGAGCTTTTTAATGGATGATTTATACAGAAACCCAGGGCCACTTCAGTTTGAAGGGCCGGGTGCTGATGCAAAGACCTACACACTCGCCATTGAGGATCAAGATTACATGGGCCGGATGAAGAAGCTTCAGGAGTATCTTGATAAGGTTCATCTTATGATTACATTTGCTTCCTTGTTCTCTTCAAAGTTGAAATGCTCCAGACAAGCGCTGTTTTTTGTACTAACTGAAGTCACTTTAACATGCATATTAACTACTTGAATCTATGAAAGGAAATTATCAGTTCACAGGCTTTTAGGTTCAGCATAGGAACTTTATGCTTTCAGTTTCTACTTTCTTTCTATGTAATTAATAACTTCTAGTGTTCCTAGTCTAACTTGGACTTTTTAAGTGTATTAGATATCGCTTCCAACCTTTATGCTGTTTGATGCATCCCATAACATCTCAAAATATTTTCATTTTGGAACTATTTCCAGCATGCCATAACTATTCAAGATCCATACCTCTACATGCTCCATTGCTATAATTTTTGACTCGATGAGCATGATTTAATATAATTTTTTATGATCCTATAACTCAAGATTCATCATATACTATGACATACTGAACTGAACAATATGTACGAATCCGACATCAATACACCCTCATATATTATATGTTGATATACTTGATATAGCTTGATATATATCATACTAATAGCTGAATAGTTTATCTATCTATCGGTACAAATCAATAAGCCGAATCATGTTATAATTTACCGAGTGATCTAACACTGCCATGTCCTGAAAAGAGGTTGCTTTGTCTATGTGCAGGTGAAGAGCATTGTGAAGCCTGGGTGTTCACAAGAGGTTGTGAAAGCTGCCCTGAGCTCTATGGCCTCTGTGACAGAAGTACTATCAGTGATGACGACTCCGTCGTTTGGTGGCCATCAGCCACTTTAACTCGAGGCAACCATAATCCACGTAGTTCCCAGTATCAGACCATCAGCAGCCAATCATTCATTTACGTATGTAGTAGAGCTGTATGTCACGCAAGGCCTCTGGCAGTTTTGGTCATAGTAATTTTTTGCTCCATAAAGCAAGAGTGTAACGTTACTTGCAGATATTCACAGTTCCAATATCTGTGAAGAACAGTAATAAGCAGAGGTGGTGCATATCCTCTGAATTGTTTAAACAATGGTGCACAGTTTATATCTGCACAGCTTGTGATCACTTTCAGAAAGCGTCTTTCTTCTTCCTTCTCTTTTATTAACTGCAATCATGATCACGCTTATTTGCATATCAGTCTCATAATGCCACCCTCTATAATTATGTCGTTAAAACCAAGCAATTCACAAGGACATATTGAATGGCTGTATCATACAGACGTTCTACGGTGAACATGGCTGCAGCCCATATAGCCTACAAATTGGTTTACTTGATGACTTGCTACGAATAATTGATTTTTTTTTTTTGGGGCAAAAGATACCACTCTTGCTGAAATGTCAGATAAATGCACGAGATTGGATGCACGTAAAGCAGAATTAAAGCACCTAAATGATGTGCTTTACACCCTATCCAGAAGACCTGCAGCTCGGTGGCATTCAATGGTGTCGGTGAGGCTCTCCTGCAGAGTCCTGCATTTCCATCCCAAGTTGTTCAACTTCGCCGAACGAATTTCGGAATCCTCCTCCACCTCAGTAAAACTGGCATTTAACATGCTTAGATCAATAACATTCAGACGAATCATAAGATTACGACATTCCAAATTGCATTGATGCAAAGTATAAGAAGGGTTTTAGTTATATCACATTTCAGGATATTTGTAGTGAGGATATATGCTCTTCAGTATGTCCACTAAGTCATGCATTTTCACCCGATGAGGTGCACAAATGTGTCGTCCTGATGCATTCGGTTCCTCATACACCAGCTGCAGAGCATCAGCTACATCTCGAACATCCACAATGGATAGAACTTTATTCTCCACAGTCGGACGGAGACCTGCGAGCCAAAAAAAGGTTTACGTAGCAAGCACAATATCCTTGCTTAGAATGTGTATATCGCATCCACCAAAAGAAGGGATGACAGGAATCAGTCAAAAGTCAGATTCTAGTATCATGGCAAAAACTGAAGCTAGTCAACATCTTATGCCACACAATTCGTATAGAGGAGTAAAAATCCAGGTAATCTGGCTAAACAGACTTGCAATCTGAAGCATGCTTAAGTATGAATGGACAAAATAGAGTAAATAGACTTCTGACTCCTTTTAGCTTCATTATCTTATTGTACAACTAGCATATTGGAGAATATCCACCGTATAAATGTCTTTTTATTAGTAGAAGAAAAGACCATGGCAGTTAGTATAATTGGTTGAAAATGACCAATATAGTAAACTAGTAATTGGATATAGGAACAGAAACATGAATTAAAGACGCAAATGAAAATTGATTCTCAAAGGCCTCATATATATTAGTTAATGTAGGTAGATGATCATCATACCATACAAGTGTGTGTGTGTATGCATAGACACACACAGTTTCTTTAAGCATCGGTTGCATTTACTCATTCTCAATGTTCTCAATTTTCTACCAGAATCCTTCCGCAGTTTGTTCTTTTGGCAGTTTCCTTCAGTACACTTTTAGGTACTTGCTGGTGCCAGCATGTTTTGGTGACTTTCAACTTTGTAAATAGCACTAATGCCTACATTAATACCATTCTACTAGTATGATATGATATATGCATATATATAGGCATACATATGCAGATATGTTTATATGCATGTAGACACAAAAGTAGGAGATTGGGGCACCTCATGGTTCACGTCGGCGGCTCATCCCTTGTTAAAACAAAATTCCTGATAATCTTAAAATGAAAATACTTACTTCTTACTACATCATCTGAACAAACTAAATAACAAAGGAAAGTATATATGGACCTTTTAAAAGATTTATGAGAACTAAGCTGCTAGCATTGATGGTGGATTGGAGCAATGGCCCTATAATGAGAGATGGGCAGACAGTCACAACATCAAGTCTGTTCTTCTCAGCAAAGTCCAATGCCTCTCGTTCTGCCAGTGTTTTTGAAAGGAAGTACCAATTCTACATTCATTTAGAAAACTAAGATCAGTTTTAGTGCAGTAAAACACAATATATAGTCATCTTTACTACTTTCTTAAAGGCTCCAACCATATTTTTTCAGCAGTTAATATTTGACAGTAGGAAAGAACAGATATAAATAAGATCTCTAAATTTGAAGTACATAGAAGCAAAAAAACTTAAAAGAAGGATCCTTTCAGAAAGAAATGGGTTATTATTCAGAATGCCAAAAGGTCAACGGTAAGTAACAAGAAAGGACATTAGACTGCCAACCACTCAGTTGACATGCCTATTCTCTTTGATGTCTTAAATCATAAAAAACACTTTTCAGAAAACCAAATGGGAGATTCGAACTTCCTACAACATGGGTCCAGAGTAAGAAGTCTTTTAAGGTTTTAAAAGCAAGGCAACAACCTGTGATGGGTAGCCATATCAGTAAGGCCATTATCTTAATCGAATCAAGGGACCTCATGTTGATGATGCAAGGAAGAAAATGATATTATCATAATCTTCCGAGACCACCTTCCTGAATTCTTCAAAATGATCTCAATTTAATATGCCCAATATTTTTTCAATATTTCCTTCAATCATATTAATCATAACTGAAAAAGTAGTCCAATATACATCATATTCTTGAAAAAATAACACTGAAACCTACGAAAAGCGCAAAAGGAAGCGTATGCATGATAGGATATGCTCAATGGAAACTAACTTGGTGTGACAAACTATATACCCAAGCGTAAATGAATGGGAATCAAGTTGGCAAAAGAATAACATCCCAAAAGATGATATGGAGATCTATGATAAATCTTAACATATATGTTTCAGAATGGTTTCAAATTGAGTTGGAGAAGACAACCATTCATAAGAACATAACTGCATGAACTTCAACTCTTATGGGATATGGTTGTAATGAATAAATGTAACATCTGTAACTGAAGTATGTCATACCAGCATGATGACAGAGCAAAATAATGGTATAGCACTTTTCATGTTTCTTAATATGTCCAAAAGCATAAAATGAATGATGAGATTAATGTTTGGAGTAACATAAAAAGCTACCACAGCCAACGATAATAGCATCAACAACAAGAAATACATACATACATACATACATACATATATATATACATACATATACATATATACATACATACATATATACATATATACATATATACATATATACATATATACATATATATATATATATACATATATATATATATATATATATATATCTCAAAAGGTTCCGAAGAAAACAGTTCTGTCCAACTAATCAAGATACTTAGAGAACAGCATCACTAAGAAGAAGACCATCCATAAAAGAACAGGAAGTTATATGAGCACACATGGTAACAGAAAATTTCACATGGCAAACGAAGATACTGGTTAAAAATCATGCAACCATGTTGTGTACAAGCATGCATATGAATGTCAGAAATCTTTGTGTATAATTAATCAGACATTGTACATCAATTACCTCCGTTTTCCGACAATATTCCTCATCTGACCAACAATTCTCATCCCTAATCTTACCCTTTGGCCAATTGGGACTCATTGAGACAGCAGCAACTGATGATACCACTACCACTCGCTTAACTTTAGCCTCAGAACATGCCTTTAGTACATTCAAAGTGCCTGTAACAGCAGGAGCAATGACCTCCACCTGAAAGACAGTCAAAAAAACATGCTGAACACTATCTCAAAAACCAAAAAAGTTTATCTGGAGAGTAAGTATCGCAGATGAAAAGATATTTAAATATTTAACTAAATAATCCATGCTTGCAGGTGCTTTTTAAAAACCCTGAATCACCTACGTCGCCCCACCACGACTCATCTTATCTATTAATATTTATGCTGATGGACAAGTGAAACAAGATATGCTTCTTTAGTGGCATAATTAGTACAGCAGCAAGGACTTCAAATACATAAGGGTGCAAGGGTGCAGGAGCTTCTGAAGTATGTCAAAAGAAGAAAAGGCTAACATATGAGAGATGTCAGGACGTAAGGGAACAACTTGCCTCTGGATTGGACGCTTTCTTTGAAGGAACAGGGCTAGCAACATGAAAAACTCCTTCACATCCAGCAATTGCAGATACTATAGAATTGTAGTCTAGCATGTCTGCTTTGAATAATTGCAGGTTTTCAGCAGCACTGTCCAGATTCTTCAGGTGGGCATTTTTTGGATCACCTGAACCCCGATTTAGCAGAACTCAGAGCCAAAAATGTGGTAGCTAAATGAGACAGTGATGTGAGGTTTAGTTACATACTAAAAAGAAGTTTCCAGTCACATGCATTCACAAGACAAAAAAAATCTGTTCTTCAAATATAATAACTATTTATCTCATTACCCCGACAGCAAAGGAATTTGGTCAAGTTTGTGCCAAATAACCTCAAAAAAAAATCACAATTCTGTTGGAAAATTTTGACAAATTAAAAGAAACTATTTGAAAGTTTCTTTTTGCATCGATTCACAAACAACAGTTTTCAAATGGTTGTGGGAGTTATCGCTCATCGGTTGGAGAGGAAAAATTTGTCCAAAACTTCACTGTTTCCTGTAGTTAAGAAGGAAGCAGGACAACAGGGCGGAGGACAGCTCCGAACCGACCAAAAGTAAGGCATATTCCTACTAATTCCTAACCTAAAGAGGTACTGCTGCAGTTTACCAAGTAGTGGAAGGACAAATAGCGGACATATAGCTACTACCAATCTTCAACAGTAATAGCTTGGTGACAAGAAATTACGACTGAAATAGCGAACTCCTAACAACATCCACAACACTCTAATGAAATCAGAGTGTCATAGCCACAAATCAAATCGAGGTATCACAACGAGTGAACGACCAAAATGAGGCAAATAGGGATAACAGCGTACCTGGGTCCCTTACAGTGCCATGAACAACGTAGCCCCGGCTGAGGAGAAGCTTCACCAGCCACGAGGCCAGGTAACCTCCGGCGCCAGTCACGCACACCCTCCTCTTCTTCTCCCCCGCCGCCTCCATCGTTCCTCTTTCCGCTCTTCGCAGATCTTGGATTTGTAAGATTCCAGAAGACTCAGGAGCTCTGCGGCGTAGATCTGAATCGACGGTGTCGGTCAAGCCGGGTGACGATACTTCAACTCAGTGATCAGGTTGTGTGGCCGGACGCGTCCTCACGTTGGCCATGTTTTACTCAATTTGCTTCCCTTTTTTTGTATAACTTTTTGAATTAAACATATCCTGTTGGGCACATGATCAGTCTGATAATATTCAACAAAATCATAAACTCAAAACCACATGGTGCTTGCTTTGCATGATGATCAACCATTATCAGGCAGGTGTAGGTTTCTAATTTTTTAGCTGGTGGAGTAATGAGAATCAAATTAGGTTTCCTACGTTACACATGATGGTTTGAGGAAAAAGTTGCTTGTCACTAATTATATATTATTTTATGTACTTGTTCTTATTAATATTATAATATTTTTCCTATTAGTATTACGATTTTTATATTAAAAAATTTATATTAAAATCTTATGATTTTAAAAATAAAATAAATAATTTTATTTATCCTAAGATCGCTAGCTATATTAATGGAAAACATAATATGTAACATCATATATTAGATCGATATAAAAGTGATAAACAAAAAAATAATTTTAATATTTGTCAAAATTATCTTTTTATTAATAAAATCATTAAAAACATAAAAGAAGTTAAAATTATTTTTTTGTTTAATATTTTTATACCGATTCAACATGTGATGTTGTTTTTCAATAATCCAGTTGACGATATTAATATAAATAAAATTATTTATTTTATTTTCAGAATTATAGGATGCAAGTAATCTATGCTTAATAAAAAAAAAGGAATGATTGAAACGCTGCAAATGAAAAAAAAAATCCATGTTTAAAACTTACAACAACAAATGCAATAATCAGAAGCCAACAACTAAACCTAGAAAAATTGCACAAGAACATACTACTGCAAGTTTGGGGGCCAATTATCTGAGGCTAGACAGGGAAAAGTTGCACGATGGTAGTCTATCAGCATTTGAAGTAAACTAAGGGCCAGCTTCATTTGGAATTGTAATAACTTAAATAACCTAGCAATTATGTGGAACAAAAACAAAGCACTGACTTTCTAGCACTTCAATGTTTGAACCTCTTTATGCTGTTGATTATACAGTAAGATGCCGATCGATCATTATACTTATGATTCTAAAGCAGACAAGGAAAGAATTTGACAAAAATATGACACGACTTAAGATGGATATGGAAATTAGTTTTATGTTTTTTTTTTCATTTAGTATTACAATTTTATACTTGTATGAAATATTATTTATCATATTTCATATAAAATTTGTAAGCATAACAACTACTAACATAATTGGCAGATATATATATATGGAAGTACTCCAAACATAAGTATATATTACTGATCATCAAGTTAAAGGCCCAAACTACGTACCTATTCCCAATATTTGACTGCCTAGTCCTAATGCTTTGAACCATCCGATGTGTTGAAAAGGATACCACAAATATCGGTCAATGTCACAACAAATATATCAGGGTGTTCAGGATCTTTAGGCAATAAAATTTGCTTGTGATGCCTAAGGTATATGCACACACTGCTTATACGTTATAATCAACCGTAAACATTCTCCTCCAATTGGGAATGAATTTTGAACTCATTTAATGCACCTTCACTGAGAAGCATAATAAGATCGGGCGGAAGAAACAGAAAGGTATAAATATTAATTATGCCGATCTCGCCGTAACAAATAGATGTAAGGAATCCTAATTCAGGCAAAGTTCATTAAAAGGCCCCGAATAAAATAAATGATGCTAAAATTTCCAGATAATTGATGTGATTATGATATCAACAGGCATAACAACAATAATCTAGTTTATACCACCATCGACAATTTTTTGGCAAAACCGCAACAAGAACCACCCTAGTCATGTTTAACGAGTAAGAATGATAATGAGGGCGACTTCTACAAGATCTTGAATCTTCAGGTGATAGAACCAAGCGGTGAAAGAAGACAGGACAGCTCTACCACTAATCGGGTGAGAAACCCTTACCAAGAGATCAACGGCCTCGATCGTCCTCGGGAGATATTGTCAAGAAACGAGAAACCCTATAAGACCACCGTCGATCAATCAACAAGGTATCAAGAAGAAAGACTGTCGATAAAGGATGAGTATATAACTGCTGATGAGGGATTGAAGAGCTGCAAGTTTCCGCCGCTGTTCGGGGGGGGTCGAGGGGTTCACCTTGTACAACTTCGATCCTCGTATACTGCCGCTACTCTAACGCCGCCGCTCCACTCCTCTGCAAACGAACACCCGCGCGCGATCAAAACCAGAGAGCGAAAGAGGCGGATTAAAAAATGAGCGGCCGTCTCAAATACCTTCTCCCGGCCATTTATAGTCACGATCCCCGCACGTGTCCTTCCGCGTCGCGGGCAACTCGAGTGGAATTTTGGTGGTTCTTAACTGACGATTCTCAGCAATGCAAACGATTCGAATCTCTTCACAGATCAGACCAAAATCACAATTTATCAAACCCAAATTGGACCGGTCAATCCCATAGAAAAAAACGAAAACCGAACCGTCGATCGGTTCCACTCACTAATGAGGCCTTTCCAACCTTAAATATACCGAAATATCCTCAACTGTTTCTTTCCTACGAAATCATTCGAGGATATTTTAATATTTTTTATTTATTTTAAGGCTGAAAGAGAAAATAAATATTATTATATTTAAAAAAATATTCTCATATTTTTGTAGCTTGAAAGCAAGTCAGGTTTATAAGAAAATAAAGTTGAATTCATGGCTGACCCTACCAGCTTTGGAACATCAGCTCGGTGTGATAATAAGATCTTACTAACTTTAAATGCACTGAACTTGATTGATACACGCCCTCATTTACTTGGACTTGCTTCAAGAAGAAATTAGTAATCCTGACTTTATCCATCAACTATGCAGAAGAAAATCTAAAAAAGAAGTGAGAGGAACAATCGATGTTAAAACGATTATAATGATGAACAATATTACATAAAACTATCTCTTGAAGAGCTTTTTCTTATAGATTGAGGTCCAAAAATACACTGTACATCAACTTACTGCAGAAAACCATTGTACATGTGCTGCTGGCACAGTTGAGCCACAATTTGCAAGCCATGATTTCACATCAAAATAAGTGCAGCGATCTCGAATCTCCTCCATTTTTGTCAATGCTACATCTCGAGTCGGCCATCTGGTCGGTCTTTTGCATGCCGCTCTTCTTGGATCTCTCCTAGTTCTTCATCGTCGCCTCGTTTTCCTGCTTGATCTTTCCAGTAAGCTACCAACTTCTTTAATCGTGCAATCTCTTTGGAAGAAACATTCTTGCTTGGCTCGTTTATAATTGATCGTACTCTTGATGCATACCTGCAAGAACAAATAGGTCAGACACTAGGAACTAAGATGCTGAATGGAGTTATAATACCAAAGGCGACAGAAGGATGAAAAGCATGTCAAATTATGTATACTAATTATGATTACTAACATACAAAATATGTTGACATACTATCTGCATGGTATGTGACTGAGTAAGCACGTGCACACATGATAAATGCAATTTTACATAGATAAGAATGGAAAAATAGACTAATTTTAAGATGCAGTAAGAGTGGAGCACAGTTTTCAATTCATAACATGTGCCTAATTCCAACTTGCAGGATAAAATGCAACCTATCTGTTCTTGTGTTGCTGAATCAACCAAATAACATCAGTGGTGTTTTCTGCAGAATGTGAAGTAAAAGAAGACATGTCGCAAAACTCAAAACAATGACATGTTTAGAATACCAACAAAAAAAAGTGAACAAAGAGAATACATACATCAGGGAATTATATGTTTCTTCCAAGTTTGATTCTGCTGGAGACACATTCACAAACATTAGAGTCTTTGCATTGCCACCAAGAGAGTCACTCATGAGCATTGTCAATTTATGGTTCCTATATGGTATATGTTGTCCATCAGAACATAATGCACCAATCACATCCGCTAGAGCCGAGAGGGACTTATTGATACTTTGAGCTTCTTTCAGCTGGTTCCCCAAGGAGCCAGACTTCTTAACCCTTTCAGAACCAGCAAGGTCTACAAAGCTAATCTGTGGACAACAGAAATAGTTCGCTTAAGACAATATGAGCTGAACTTAACTAATAATAAAAACTTATATAACACAACCACAACAAAATAGCCCATTTTAGTCTGTCAGCCAGATACATGATTAAATGTTTGCTCTTCACAGAAATCAGCAACTAAATTATCAAGGAAACAGTTGATGAGTAAATAAATTGCCCAACAAAGTAAAAAAAAGGTTCTTGTTAAGTGACCCAGTAGGTGCCTCATAACATATGCTTAAAGAAAAGAAAGGATGTTAATCTGTTGGTCACAAAAACAAATCAAGTCCATAATACAAGTAATGCCAGAGAAAGTTTTGTTCTACTAGTGAGGATGGCAAAACAAAAAGCTTCTGAAAAGGAAAATGATTGGACATAGCAAAGCAATGCCACTAAAAGTGTGTCCAAGGGGTAAGTTAACTGAAATATCTTTACGAACATAACGATAAGACAATGAACATTTGCAGCATAGTTTGTGATGTATCTGAAAAAGTATGTACTGAAGCGGTTGGTACAATGAAAAGAGAAATCTTCTTTGCAACTCTAAGAGATTTTCTACTATGGTTATCAAGCAATGTTTTTTATGCTGTTATAAAGTGACAGACTTATCATCGACTTGCTGATCATTGTTGACTCTCAACAACTTAAAGCTTCTCTAAAAAGTGCATACCTTTCCTCTAGCAAGAGATTGAGTCTGAAGGTTGGTGCTTTCAATGATTATTGATAGTATTAAATGTGATCTTGAACTTTCATCATTCATGTGAGTCCCAGCAGTATGTCGTTGCTCAGACCCTCTAGAGATAATAGCCCTTAGTTCATCAAAGTTAGAGATCTGCATAATTGTTGCATTTTCAATCGAGACCAAGCCCTGAAGAATCAAGAACAATAACAAATTTCAGAAACATCAATCTAAATTATAAGCAATTTCCAGTATTACAAAGTGACATAGTTATGGGACACAGAATGTTCATTTCGTTATTGCAACGTTTTCCTAAGCTGCCTTAGAAACTTGGAGATAGTGTTGCATAGAGTTCTCTATCTGCATGTTCTATCAGTATCATCACCTATTTCTCTAATGAGAATTGGAGGATGTTTTGTGTTACAATTCAAGCACCAAAGATGGAAGTATGATGTTACCTTTGTGTCCTTTTTTATTTCCAACTTTAGGCGTTTGGCATTTTTTGGTAGTAAGAGATCCACGAGAGTGTCCTGATACAGTTCCACCATATATGCCTGGAATTACATCAAGGAAAATGTGATAATATATTAAATAAAGAGAATAAAGTGCTTGAAAAAGAAAGTTTAACAACTTAAACCATTAAATCAAATAGTTAAACTTCATTACATTTATCTGTGGGAAAGAATCTGTCAAAGTGGGATGTGAGAGACAATTTCTCCATATGCCTTAACATACTTAACGTAGCTATGACAGAAATGATGCTTAGAAAAATTTCAAGATAGATTTAGCCTTCGGCTAAAGACATGAAATGTCAATCTATTCTAGATCAGAGAAGAAGTGAATATATTAGTTTATGGATGAAACAATCAGGAAAGAGACTAGTTGATGCTAAAAAGTGTGAAATTACAACTTGTAGCCTCCACCTACTCTGCTGCCAACATGACCATCATCCCCGGGCTCGAACTCTTTTGTCCCCAGGACCTGCCACCGCTACCGGTACCACGGACACTTGTTATCTTTGTCAGTTATGGAGTTCAATAATTGTTCGGGTAAAGATGACTCATTTGTCAAGCCAACTTAATACCAGTGACTAAATAACTTGTCTCTTACAACTAATGATTATCTGGAACAAAAAATTTTAAAGAAACAAAAATGAGAATAAATCGAAAAATAATTCCTGTGTATTTAACAAATAACCATCCCAATTTCATGAACCAAATGAAGCCCCATAGTGACTAACACTTCTATTTCATATCTGGAATACACCAAGCAGGAGAGAATTCAGAACATAAAAACAACGTCAGAAATGCAAGAATTGGACTGTGCACTCACCTTCAAGGAAAAGGAATACTTGCTGCTATCATGCTTTATAACTCTAAAAAGTTCAGCAGTTGCCCTTGGAGTAATCCCTGGATTACTTTCTGAACCATAGATTGTAAAAGTCTTTCCAGAACCAGTTTGCCCATATGCAAATATGCAAACATTATAACCATCAACTGCAGATTGTACCAGATACTGCATATTGATTACATTACCAATCAACACAGTGACACACAACAAGAAAGTAAACATTATTTAGATGTGAAAAGAAAGATGTGCAGGAAAATATGTTCACAATGATCATTCAGCAATTTGTTTGTAAATTGAACTTTGAAACTTCACAATAAGTTTAACTGCAACTTACCTTGGTATCCTCAAAAACTTCATCCTGTGAAGCACTTTGATCAAACACACAATCATAAATATGTTGCTTTGATTTTTCATCCTTCCACGGATGTGCAATTGTAAATTCATCAGGACTGACAATTATTTGCTTTTGTCCTTCAGCAATCTCCTTCTCATTTAGAGGACGCAAACGACAAAACACTCTTATTTTGCCTTTCATATCTGTCAAGTCAAAAGATAAGCAAAAGTTTATTATTGTGAGAAAATAAAATAACTAACAGAAAGAGCTTCCATAAAAAACTGGAGATCGCCATAAAAACCTTCAATCATATTATAGTATCTCTTCCGTAAAATTTGCTCTTCCTTATAAAGTGCCTCTAGCTCAATGAGTTGCGCCCCCTGTTTCTTTAAAATAGCAGCAGTTTGTTCGTTCTTTCTATCAATATCCTATAATAATGATTAAAAGTGAAATGCAGATTTAAATTTTCTCAGTATAGAACTTACAAATATGAAAAGCATTTCCAAATAAAAAAATCTTGAGAGAATATCGCAGATTATCTTTTGTAAGAAAAGAAATGTGATATACTATAATATACGTACCGCCTTCCATTCACGTAATTCCTCCAACTCTTTTGAATTATTCTGTAAATCATCTAGTTCTCTGTTTCTCATTGTAAGAGTAACGTGAGCAACATCAAAGTCCTGTGTAACACGCTCCAATTTTTGCTCCAGTTCTTTAACATGTGCCTTGAGCTTTCTTCGTTCCTCTTTGAAGTTCTTTTCCAGTGCACTCTTCTGCATTTTACAAGACATAAGTTCAAGGAAAAATAAGTACAGTTATTGCACTTATATAAAAAAGGTTGTTTAATTATAAAAACACATCCAATATTTAATGTTTACAAGGTTACTGAGTTAGCATATAGAAGTGAACATAATCTAGAAGAAAGTAAAAGCAGATACTAAATACCTCATCGTTTTTCTTCGTCTCATGCATTTGGACCTTTTGTTCAAGCACAGATTTCTCGTTCAGCATAATTTTATAACTTTCTTCTGACGCATGTAACTCCTTCATACATGCATTCAGATCCTCCTGTGTTCTTAATGTCTTTGTAAAGATCATCAGAGAAAAAAATACCCATATTATCATCTTCAAAGTGAAAGATCTTTCAGAACAAATAAAATTCTCGCCTTAAAATTTACATAAGGTGAATAGCAAGAACCGAATCCTAATAGACCCTCTGAAAAGTAATCAGACATACATACTTCGGTGTCAACATGATCAGTCTTCATACTCCCCACTGTTAATGTATTTTTCCTTTGTTTATTAGATACATTTACAGGTTCCATCTCATGATTGGTCTCATCCATAATATGTTCTTGGATGCTCACTCTTGCTAATGCAGACTCCAGAATACTTTTATCCAGCAATGCAGCCTAATTGTAAGAGTACATGACAGAAGCATGAGTCACAAAGCAACATCAATTAGGAAAAGGCAGCTAAATTGTTAGTTCACCAGGACATAACCTGCAAAGAAGAATCTTTTTCATCACAAAGTGCTTTAAGATTGTCACAGTCATAAGTAACATCTCTTAGACATTGCCTCTCTGACCTCAATGATTCTTTCAGCCTTTCCAGTTCCTCCTGCATCTCCAGCTCTTGTTTCTCCCTCATACACAATTCTTCCAACAACTACAATAAATAAATATATATATATATATATATATATATATATATATATATATATGAATATGAGTTTATTGCTTAATAAAAGTTGAGTTACATGAAAATTCCTTTAAAGTTCTGGAGGAAAAAGTAAAAAGTTGAGTGAGCAAACAAAATGGACAATATGGATTACAGCCATTAAAAATACACAGAAAAAAAGAAAACATGTGATTACTTACATGATCTGTATACTTTTTAGATTCTTCAACAGCTCCAGACAGGTCTTGTAAACGTTTTTCATATATATCTAAGCTTGGAGTTCTTATTGCTTGAGAAAAATCACCATGATTAACTCCACTGGTAGCAGAGCGAGCTTTTGCATATCGACGAAGCATCACATCATTTATATGTGTCTGAAGAGCAACACATATTTCCTCACCCTGAAAATTTAAGTGCAGAACCAATGTGCGATTAAAGAAAAAAATAAATAAGATGAAGACCCAAAAAAGAATCCAAGATAAGTTAAGAGTAAAAAATGAAACACATGGATATGCCTGAACCTGCTTAGTTTCGAACTGAAAAATGTGAAGGATGCCAGCGACCCTCATCTTGAAAAAAACAGCAGTATTGCTACTACCAAATTGCATAATATCTCTTAGTTCTGCAGAGTGCAAATACTCTTTTGGAACTGGGCGGAAAAAATGAACCTAAAACCATAAACACAGTTTGCTTTTTAAGTCACCCAATTATGGTAGCTTGGAAGCACCAAAGTATAGTCCAAATTGCAACTAACCCCACGCTTATTGATTCCTAAAACAATCCGTCCAGGTAAAAGACCAATAGGATCATCTATCTTCCGCACACTAAAAAAGACAGAATTTCCATAAGGAAGAGTCCTTAGAATTCTAAGGAACTGATGTTTAGCATCATCCTTTGACATATGCTCCTGCATGAATCAATAAATTGAAATAAGTTCCAAAATCATAAAAATTTATAACTGAATAAAGTTTTGGCAAAGATATTCCAAAAAAATTTCACCACATAATATTGAATGTCGAATAAATGATGTATTAATATGTGCTACTCATATGTGCATGAATGATCCTCAGTCACAACTTTAATCAGCACATAAGACATATACACATGAACAATAAACATCTGCACATAAGAAGAAAAAAAATACAATCAACGTATATCATTTAAGCCTTTACCCATCAATTTGAACAGACAGTAATAACTGAAGAGGAAGGTTCTATGGAATTTCAAAAGAATTTTACAGCCATCTCCTGTTTTGGTTTTGACTTCTGCAAATTGATGCAAAATTCCTAGCAAAAAGCAACTCTATGGAAGAGAGAAACTTGCCATATATTAGTCCAAAGATAATTTAACAAGGAAAAACTTGATAGAATAACTGTCATCAAACAAGCTTCATATATGAAGCAAGGTTCGCCGTACCGTACCGTACCGGTGTTTCGACCCAGGCTCGGTACGGTATGGTACCAGTGTACCGGGCGGTACATCAGGGCGTACCGAGCAGTACACCCTGGTGTACCGAACAATTTTATATTTTTTTTCATAATGTAGCACTGTAGCGGTACCGGGCGGTCCGCGTACCGGTAACCTGTCGGACCGGTACGGGCAGTACGCTTCGGTATGGCAGACCTTGATATGAAGTAATATTTCAATTATTACCACCGAAAGTTCAATGCTTACCATTAACCGATAGCGGGAAATAATATCAAGCTCCCAGTCTCCCTTTGCACGTGTAATAGCAATTTGTCTAGGCAGAAACCTTTCAAGAAGTGAAAACCATTCACTGCAAATCACAAAGAACATCTAAAATCTAACATTTCAACCAAAAGCAAACTCCACAGAAGTGACTTGAACAATAAGGTAATTCAGACACTCACACACATGATCCCGGATGTTGCATGCTCCCAACCTCAACCAAAATCTGTAAAGCAGATAATTGTGCAGCATCATCCCTCCCAACAGGATAGTTTCCTAGCATATAATCATGTTGTAACTGCAATAAAAGGAAAATATCAAGGTAAATAAAGCGATGGCATGATCATAAGAATTACACTTCAGCAATTGTTCGTGTCTCAGGCAAAATGTCTGATACCTGTACATAAGACAGCTGAACAAACATTGGATCAGCTACAGTTTCGTCTGATTCCCGAAATAATCGTTTTTTGAATATAAGTTTGCAGTGTGAAATCTCTCCTTTAGTACGATCCTTAGCTGCCTTGAATTCAGCCAGCAAATCACTAACATACTTGTTATCATCTAAGGCTAAATATTCCTCTGCATGCAAAAGAATACATAGCCACTCACATTAATAGTGCAAAAAAAAGACCATAGACAATAAGCATCTTAGATTCAACTTTTTCTTTGCTATCATAGAACTTCCTTGCAATAATAATTACCATTGCCAGAATCAGCACACTTTGAACCATTGACAACTTTTCGGCACTCAAATAGACTGAAACTCGAATAAACTGAGAGTTTGATGATTCCTGCAATTTCCTAAAGGAAAATCACATTTCATCATCAAGAACCTCAAAAATAACTCAATACAAAAACTGATCTTTTTCTGATGATAGAAGAACGATTATTTTAGGCCCGTACGTTGCCAAAGATCACATGGACTTAGATTACAACCAACCAAAAAGCCAAGGAAATTACAGGAAATGCAGTTAACATGCTGCTTCCTAGGCAATTGCTGCTTTTATGGGTATAGATCTTAGAAATTTGGAATAGCTAATAACTCACTGGTTCTTCCTTAATTCATTTACTAATCCTTTAGAACTTTTCCAGTCATGTTAGGTCTAACAATTTTTAGATGAATGTTTCTTAACATCCTTCTCTAGGCTTTCTTGCTGGAACATTTGACAGAGAGTAAGTGCTTGATATATATTCAGGCAACAAAATGCTGAAGTGGTCTGACAACTCTAACCAATTAAAGCCAGTAGGGAGATTGTGAAGGATCTAGGCCACATTTAAGATGTGTTTGGAAAAACAATTAAGTAATGTTACAGCTATTACTTAAATTCTACTCATTTTTTCATTTACCTGATGAAGAAAAAAATCAATTGTATTAGTCAACAAGCACATTGCAGTTTTTTTATATTTAGCATGAGTGCATGACTGCATGAGAATGCATCAAGCATAAAATGTATCCACTGGATATGTTGCCTCCATCTGAAAGGTATACAATCACAGAGCAGTTGCTCAAAAGTTGACAAAACATGAGTGCATTTGGCAAAGAACTTTTTGTTTTAGCAGGAAAATTCTGAAGTATAAAAATGGTCATTAAAGGGTTGCCAAGCCTAGATGTTATAGTGTTGTTGGGGGAAAATGTAAAAACAAATGTACGTGCATAATAGGACAAATCCAATGAGGTCACTTCAACTAATCAATATGTTGCACCTTACTGGGATATTTGTGTTTAGGCAGCCCATTGCACAGGATTTCTGCAATTTGCAGTCTTGAGAGGGTCAAAGTATACAGGCTTACTTATGGGTGAGTGTTATTTCCAGGACTCAAACCATTGGCACTCAAGTCGAAGAGGAGCAAGCAACCTTAGAGAATTACATCATCTTATATCAAACAAGGTGATACCGGCAAAAATATAAATTTATTGTTTCCTAAGAAATTTCAGTATACCAATCTGAAAAATATGCTTGCATGCCAATGTTCACAGCATTTGTGTTTTTCATCATCAATAGTAGATTCTTCACATCTCTTTCATACTTGGCTGAAAATGCAACATAGATATTAAACAAAAGTAAACAGGTGGCCAACCTAAGAGCATAATAAAGTAAATTTTGCATATGTAACTGTAAGTAGATATACAGTTTATTAAGAAAAAGGAAAGCAACAAGAATCATTCTGTACCTCCACAGCATCAGCAACAGTTGTTGCCATGTCATAAATAATTTCTTCAAAAGTTTCGTCTAGGAAAAACACTATTGTTGTAAGCTTCTTGCCAGTTAACAGAGCTTCAATCTCCTCATGTGTAGGTATTGTAAGTCTCGGTCCTGCTTTTACTGAATGCTTCAATGCATTCAATGTATTTAAAGCAAGGACATGAACTTCAGGTTCATTGTTCATCCCATGAGCTACATAATGAATATATTCTGATAAATATGCTCCAATATCCTTGCTTGGAGGCATGGCAGAAGCACATAGATACATGAGTTCCCAAGATTTTATTAGAGAATCTCTGCAGACATAAATATAGCAATACCATGGAATTGTGAGCTGATAGTGATATGATGTTGACAGGCAGCATACTTATGGAGGAGGAAACCAATGAATGTTTGTAACATCCCAACGTCTCATGTATAGCTTACCTATCAGGATTATTGCGAGTTTGCTTTGAGATTTGAACAAAAAGCTCATCTCGAAGTTCAGAACGCTTTAAACAGTGCTTATAAATTTTTGCAACAAGCTCTGTACACTCTTCAACACTCAATGGAGTTATTTTATCTGAAGAATCAATCCCCATGTACTTCAAAATCAACAGGAACAACTTTATGGAACGGCTTACTAAGTCATTGTCTATTTTAAGCAGAGAAGTTGGGATTGGATCCTGCCAAAATATGTAACAAATTTTAGTATGTTCTAAGAAGCACAAAACAGGCTATATTGTATCTATCTCTCACTTCACACACACAAGCGCATGTAAATGCAAGCATGCACCCATGCACACACCGATGCACCCGCACACACATGCACCCACACACACACACACATGCATAATCAGAATTCTGCACAGCAACTGATAAACCTAATTGTAAGTGTTTTATCAAAGCAGCCATATATAGAAAGAAGATGTGTCACCTTTTGAAAGCACAGCATATCTTCCAATGTATACTTTTCACGAACTTGAGGGCCAACAGATTTTTTAGAGAAAAATCCACGTTTTCCGGCAGACTGCATCTGCTTTTGCATTGATTTCAAAAACCCCTCTACCTATGAAGAGAGGGCAAAACTGAGATAATGATGGAATACAAGACAAGCAAAAGAAACCTTATATAACTAGTGGTCATCTTTTGTGGGGACCAAAGCTACAAGGCAATTTGAACACATTTAGCATGAGACATGCAATAAGAAGTTCCATAACATAAATGCTTTGGCCCACAATTAATACTGATTAATTTGCTGTCAAATGATTGAAAATATATTAGCGCATTTTACTCAAAACAAAAGCTGTTAAAAGCCAAATGAGCCTACTTTCCAAGAAGCTCACAACTATCAAAAAGAACTAGTGCAAAGATCCATTCAGTTGCATGAAGAATGCATGAAAATCAAGGATATTTCTAGTGTCATGAAGTTAGCACCAAATAGTATGCACACCTCGTGAAGAAATCATGTGTAGTTGAAAAACCAAAGGCAAATGTTGAATCAGGATAGAGAACAACTAGTGATAAAAAAGGATAAAAATAACAAGTCAAAAAGCTTGTTTTCTGGAAAAGGAAAAAGAAAATAGAACTGGTGAGTTTTATGAATGACTAAAATTACAATACTACGTAATGCAAGAAACTAGGATGAATGAGAAATATATTATCCGAATATGGATCAAGATCACTTGCAGGATTTAGACATAGACAAAGTGAAGGATGACTTTGGTGGTTTTTTGTAATGGTTGCCTATATGAGCTACACAAGGTAGCCAGTTAACATATAAAATATGTTTCTTTGGAAACATGCACTAAATCCAGAAAGAGAACTTTCTGGGCTAAGCAATGTAAGAAAATCGCCAGCCAAATTGCACATACCCAACTTCATTGGGAAGATGAAACATGCAGCATCACAGAATCATTATACATATCATGGTACATTAGTCATATGCATGATACAAACACTACATAAAGAGAATAAAGTAATATGATATTTTGGCTTTAGAATTACCTTTATTTTTCAAACTACCAGATATAATTTAATTTAAAAACCTAATAAGTCAGAGAAAAAGAATCTTCTCTATGATGAATTTGTAATTATTCCCCTCGTTCATCATATTGTTAACTATGATCGAAGTAATAGTGTTCAGATCAGTCAAATTCTGGAGAGGGCAAATAATGACAATTTATAATATGATACCAAAGGAATCCATTACTATGGGATTAGCATAATTGATATTTGATAATATTGATCATAATGTCTTTTAACAACCACAAACAAAAGGCAAAATTTTGCACCTGTGTGGTTTGAGTATCCTCTATTTGACAAATCTCTCGATAAATTTTTGACATAACTTCACATTTTGAAATTCTTGTCCAAGCATACATGACCATATACTTGTCAATATGGATATTATAAATAAGTATGCTGATATGTAGAATGTTTAGCTGTAATTAGTAAGTATCCATTCCAAGAAAAATATTTTCCCTTGGCTTAAAGTTCACAAAAAACAAGTCTAATTAAATGAAAACAAGATTTGAAGGAAAGATCAATGTTTATATGCATATATGATCCTTGTCAGTCAGAGATAATTGCTGAGAACCAGTGAAGGTTCAAATGCATACCTGAAACCTATCGATCAAAGTTATAGCACCAGCAAGATCAGCTGGTATGGACATTGATAGGGTCCTTGGGGTACTACAAAAGCAATAGTCAAAGAATAAGCATATGAAACAATGGAAAATTTTAGTGCAGCTTCTCTTATGTTCTACTCTACGATGACCATATAAATTATGGAAAATACAAGGACGTGTCCAAGTGACCATGAACAGAAAATGAACGCTAGGCATCACCCACTGACAAAACAATGAGATGAGTGTAAATTTGCTCCTTTGAGACCTACCTAAGCAAGTACCCGAATCATAAAGCAGCCTCTTTGCTTGCATGTTACGTGCATTGACCCTCTCCAAACCCTTCATTGGCAGGAGCCTCGTGTATTGGGCTTCCTTTTTTTTCCATTTCTAACATATTAATTTGTATTAGCATTAATGACTAATTGTTATGTCACATAATAGATTATTTAAGGATTTTGACCTTAAATTCAGTAGTTCAAACAGATGGAGAAAGTAGAGAATAAAGGAAAACATCCATGGAGCTACAGATATGAAGATGTGTCCCCAAAATAAATGAAAAATGTGAAGGTACATATATCATGTTAAGAGCAATTAAGGCTGAGTTTTCCTAATGTAAAATAAATCTTCTCATCATCTATACATTTAAAGTAAAATAAAGGTTTTGGTATTACCATGATTTTCTAGAAATCAACATTTGGCACTGTATCTAAAATTGGATGGTGGTAGTCAGACAAGACATCATCAAAGTATGGGTTTAAAACTCATACATAGTGATGAAATAAAAACAAATAGATCCTACACGCTTCAAAGTTTATGAGTGTAAGATTAACATGTGTGCTTCCCGTAGATAGAAAATTAGGTTGGAAGTCTATCAATGTGGTGAACTTCTCAAGATAGTCCTGTTCAACTTTTTAGGATAGCCCCATTCCACCAAGGCATTTTTATTGCAGATGCACAACTGAAAAGTCAGGTGAGAAGGTTTCTGGTTTAATGTTCTTACGCATCTAGCATTAAGCCATCAGAGAATGCAGGTCAGTACTACCAAAACAATGAAAGCAATCTTTATCTAATTCCACAGTTTGTGGAACAAACAACCAAGAAGTTTAAACTTACGGAGGAGCAAAATAAGATCCGTCGCTGTCATATCCATCCCCGTTTACGCTGGCAGCAGAAGTATGCAAAGGCGTTGCATTCCCATTGCTGGAGTTGAAGGATGATTGGCTTGCCCTAGCACCCTGGGCTGCCATGGGCAGACTGCCGACATTCATTTCTGTGGATCAAGAGCAACAGACTTTCCACACACTTCCTCCTAATGCACCGCAACTAACCTTCTTGCACCCCCTCTTTTTTCTAAATCTTGGAACCAATACAAAGATCAATATAAAAGTCATGTTGGATTGAGCATTCCAACGAGCAAAAGTGTCTTCATACAAAATCTACATCATACCTTGACTTCCAAAACAAGAATTCTACCGTGAGAAAAAGTTGATGGAAAAAAGAGGGGCCCCTTTTTGGCCTCAAAAAAAGGTGGGGATAGACATGTACGAGGGTTTTTCAGCATGCAAAATCCAATCTTTATGCAATTTTGGCCAAGAAAGAGAATCCTATGCAACAGTTTTCTAAGACTGAAGAGAGTAAAACTCCTCTACGGCAGCGAAATAATTATTCTAGAGAACTGGAACTCTTTGATCTTTCCCCACCATGTACATTCTGGTGATGTCAAGGACACCACGAGAAAGAAACATCGGCCGACAAAACATGACTAGAAAAGCTTCAGATCAAATAAAATCAGGGGAATCCAACGATGAGAACCGAGAAGAACCGAATGTGAGACGGAAAACAAGAGATCACCTGTAAGTGGAGAAATCAGGGGAATGTGGTCAGCACGAAGTCGACCAGCCGCCAAGATAACAACCGAGCAAACCACGTGATACGGAACGCTAAACCTTAACTGGTCGTCATCATCGGATTCTTCTTCTTCCTCCTCCCGAAGCTGCTGCTGCTGCCGGCTTCCTGTTGTTCTCTCTTCTCTGTCTCCTCTCCCGTGACGAGATCTAATCCGAAGGCATTAAAAAGACGGATGGGAATCGAGGAGGTGAAGAAAAAGTAGGCGAGGGATGGCGTTGGGGGCTCACGAGGATTAAAGAAATCACAGGGAGAGGGAGAGGGAGTGGGAAGGAGTGGGAGAGAGAGAGGACACGAAGGAGACGACGTCTTTTTCGTTTGCTAAAATAAAAGACTAATGTTTTAGAAAACAAAAAACGGAAACATGGTTTTCAAAATGCCCATGTTTGATTCCATGATTTTGCATACCCGGAGTCCACCCAGCGAATCCAAGAGTACCACGTCATCGTATTTTCATATATCAGCGAATAGGACTCTCGGTGCACGGTGAGGGCTTCATTCGGCTCAGCATCTCCGCGGTCGAGCAACACGAAAACAAAAAACCCTGGATTCGTGCACTTCAGAATTTGAACGTGCTTGAGATCTCCCCTCTTTGTTTTGACTTGATGTTATTATTAAGGCTTGTCTTAAATTATATATATATATATATATATATATAT